TTTGCGGTGTTCCAGTGCGCGAAGTCGGCAAATACGCAGGAGAGTCCGGCGACGCAACAGTCGGTGTCGGCGTCGGCGACTTCTCAGGTGACTGGCCGGTGTATCTGGGCTTTTATGGAACAAATTGCCCCTCCAGGTTAGACTTGCTCCAACTCGGCCTGTTTTTAAATCTCGTTTAAAAACCCACTTTTTTTCCGTGGCATTTACAGACCAGGTATGACACTAGTGCTTTTACATTTGGATTTGTATCTTACTAGTATTTTGTATTGTTTTTACGTCATGAGTTTTTCAGTCTGTGGCTTCTGGTCTGGTTTCGTCGTCTCGTGTTTTAAATGTGTTTCATGTCCCGTCTGTTTTTCATGTATTTATGCTGTGTTTTTATACAGTTGTTGATGTACAGCACTTTGTTCAACTCTGTTGTTTTTAAATGTGCTGTAGAAATAAAATGGATTGGATTGGATTGGATGGCACCATTCAATCTTTTCTCAAAGCATGTGAGATAGCAGGAAAAGCAATTAACGAGAGTTTTGAATGTTGCCTTAACTCGAGTGTTGGTACGTATTAAATTGGAACTAAGATAATAAGAAACGTGCCAGAAAACTGTTGTATTTGTGTAAGATTTGATGACTTTAATCGGGGGATTTAGGGCTTGGAATAAGGTGTATGATCCCATCATATTAAACATATCAGGGAGGGGTTTCCTGTAATGACTGACTAAGAAACCTTTGAAAAGGTCATCCATCAGTTACAGGTTACACCCACTCCACATTCCTTATATCCACTTGAAATGTGAATCACACTTTCACTTTTTTTTGTATTCCCGTGGGAACGGCTTACCTGGCGTGTCGATCATGTTGTGAGTCACAATCGAGAGCTGACAACATTTTGGTAATTAGTTACCGGTATGCTTTTACTTGTTTTACTTTGTTTGTCCATTTTGTACTTTGCTCAAAGCACAACATGTATTTCTTTCCAGGCCGTATAAGTAAAACAAAACAAGGACATATAACGTGTATTATGCCTTTCATCCAAGGATTTTTATTTATTTGTAAGTGAATGAAACACTGAAAGGAGAAAAAAAACATAAATAAAAAATAATAATTATAAAAAATAGCCAACAATTATTATAAATCTATTAAGTTGAAAATCAATTTAAATTCATATGGCTATTTATTTTTGTTATTTTTACTCAGTTGTGTCAAGGACTGTTTTTTGGACAACACTGAAGCTTTCTGGCACAGAGGATGAAGATGTATCAGACTTTCACAAACACACAGCACTTGTTTGTAGATATAATAGTATGTGATATGAAAAGGGGACAACATCAGCGAACATATCCTGTAAAATAAACAATAATGCATTTAAGGAGTGGTCGGAAATGTTAGAATTGACCCGACTGTGTTCAGCTCGCTGTGGTGAAAACGGAGAGTCATCCAGAGCCGCCGGCTGCTGACGAATCTTTGTGGTTGTTCGAGGAGTTTGTTTCGAAACACCGGCTTCCTCCCCACGCCGTCGACCTGGAGGTCAGAGAGAGAGGAGAGAGTGGGAAGATTTCACATAGAAGGAGGAGCAGAGCTTATTCATTCCTCGTAATGTGGGATTATACTACAACTGCTGTCACATAAATACAGGGAGGGAGACAGCTGGATGATATTTACCTCGTTAACCTCCCTAATTACAATTAGAGAAAGGTCCAGGGTCAAAGGCGGAGGTGGAAGAATACTCATGTCTTGTACTTATATCAAATACTCAAGTAAAGTACTAGTATCTCAAAATTGTACTTCATTACTTGAGTAAATGTAAGCTGTTTTATCCCATGGTCAAATACACTTTTTCACACAATGACGTAAAAGTGTTAATACAGATAATAGACAAAAATAATACAAAAAATAAGCACTAAGAAATCAAAGTATATCTATGTCAAAACAAATGAATAAGTCAATGTGAAAGACTTCAAAAATAAAGCATGCATGCTAGCTAATGCCCACATAAACTGGGTTTAATTACCATCAGTGACGCTCTTAAGATGAGCTCAATGCTGAAATGTCATTGGTTGCAAATTAAAATAGGTTCTTTGGAGAATAACCATTGTGCAGTTTCTTTTTTAAGTCTTTTCAAATAATGGCAACCAACAACAAGACCTAGGAAAACTACTTAATATCCTCCATGTGCAGAAACCATAAGGCGTCTTAATGATTGAATGCTTTTCACTTGTTTGCACATGGAAAACGTGTATTAAACGTCGGTTTTAAACTTAGATCTAGCAAATTCAAATGAAATCAGGACTTTTGCTAGTTTGGTGTAATTAAACTTTGTTGAATAAAAACGTGTTAATTCTCCTCAAAGTGAGACATTATAAAATGCACCCTTTTGGTTTCAGCCCTGTTACTGATATAGTGATTGAGGAATGACCCGTCCTGCGCTCTAATGAGACAGCAGTCCTGCAGACTGAAGCCTCTCTCCTCAGTTTACTGACAGATGCCTCGCTGTCCTCCGTTTGTTTGAAGGAAATGTAATTAGAAGAAGCTGCTCTTTGCTTTGTGAAATGAAGCAGCTCTGTAAACATTAGCAGCAGCCCTCACTTGATTTACTGTGACGTGAGTTTAAACCCTGTATAAGCTTTACATAAAAGAGTTAATCAGCTGGCTTCAGGGCAATATATTTTATTCAGAGCAGATTCCTGCACATATCTGATAAAGAGCCCTTTATTCCCTGAGTCTGACACATGAACACTGAAGTGTCTATACGAGGCTTCTGGAGAGAAATCCACTTTCAACACAGATTGTTTGTCACATGTCATTTGTTCTGGATTGATCTGTTTTTAAAATGTATTTTTGTGCTTGGGAAAATACTTTGATGCTTGTTCATTCATAAGGGGTGAAATCTGTCAAATGTCACATTTTTGGAAGTTAAGAAAAATGCGTAAAAATCATTCAAATATTTGTGAATTCATTAGAAACTCGAAAACAATCACAATCCATGATAGTTATCTTACATTGTAATCAAATCAAATAGATAGTTATATAATAATACAATCTGAAATATTCACTGAAATAGAAAAAGGGTCATTCTTTGTGGTCGGAGTCTGATTTCATAAGATGCATGAAGACTTCAGGGAGATCATTTAAAGCAGGGGTGTCAAACTCAAATACACAGTGGGCCAAAATAAAAAAATCGGACCGGACTGGTTCAATGTTTATTGCAAAACGTATTGAAATGAACTTATTGCACATATTAAACCTGGAACTAACAAAGCTTAAATTATTGCCTATACAACATTAAACATTAAATAATCAGTTGCATTCATTTCTTATGGCTTCTATCTGGCAGCTTTTCCAGGAGGTCATTTCTTGATGAGACATTTTTCCACAGGCCAACAACAGCTTACAAAAAAATATTTCCCTCAAAGAGAAAACCAAACATGTCCTGTTGTCTCAAGAAAGAAAGTGCAGAAGGGGAAACATCCATTAAACTCAGTGTGCTGCTCTGTGATCTGGTTCAAGCCAGATACTTGGCTCTCATCTGGTGCAAGTCATCAATGTTTGGCTCAGTGCTCTGGAGGTGAGGAGACCCTCCAGGGATGGAGTGAAGGTGTGCGGCAATATACCGGCGGGCCAGACTAATAAGTGATTAGAAATTATCCTGCGGGCCGAAATTAATCCACCACGGGCCTGATTTGGCCCTCCGGGGCCTTTGAGTTTGAGACTTGTGATTTAAAATAAAAAGTTATTTCATTTGTAATAGTGGTCGTACAACAAGCTTAGTTTAGATTTATGTGTTATATTCAAGTTTTATTGATGTTTTGATTTGTCCTGAGATAACAAATTTAAAGTGTAATACAGCATGACAAATCACCATAACTGCGTTTTCCTTCTTCAGTGGAAAACTCGCTGGCAGTCTGAATGACGCACACTACGCATTACTGGTGGTTTTGTGTTTTGTCAAACTGCAGTGTGGTACAGTACTGGTGGGTGTTTCCCTTCATTGTTGCTAAACTCTTGCATATCAAAACTCTAACGCTTGGTGGCCTGTGAGGGAACGTTTGCTTATTTAGCTGCCTGTAAACACAGGGTCAAGAACAGGAAAATGCACTTAACTTTATCTTTTTAAATGTGGTAACCACTATAACTACTGTTGGTGTTAAAATGTGTTGTTTATTTTTGACCCTTACAGTAACTTCTTATTTTATAAAATACGTTATTATTTGTATTTTATTGTGTATTCTCTAGAACATTTTACATAGCATTTCCCTATGGCTTAGAATATCCTATTTTATTTTAAAATAATAATAAACAATAATATTGCAAATTCTTACTTTTCTGTTGTTACCATATTTAGTTTTTTAAACTCATTCAAACAACTGTCACGAAACACAAACTTCCCTCATGAATAATTCGAATATATCCCCTTCAGATTTAGATTTGAAAAGTGTAAAAAGTTATGGAGGAAAGTAATGAAAACAGAGAATCTTGATGAGAATAAGATGCATTCAGTGTATTAGTAAACAGTGAACGAGAGTGGTGAATTTCAAATCTGGTCCTCTGCTGCACCACCAGCTTCAGGTCAGCTGATGTTGACTCTCGCGGTTTGATGGCAGCCGTATCAGGAATGTTCTCAGCGTGAGACGGCGGAAAACTGGCAAAGATCGCTCATCAGTTTCTCCTGCAGCCTCTTTCTTCTGGGCGAAAGAAAACACTGAACCGGCTCAGAGGCACGGGCTGTCAACATTCAGGCGACAGAATCTGTGTCAGCACTCAGCAGGAGGCCAAGAGGGCAGAGGAACTCTGAATAAC